AAAAATAAACATATCAATTTTTGTTCACTTTTTCTTTAAAGCAACCTCAAGACTAATCTTGTCTCTTGAAAAGTGAACAAAAATTGATATGTTTATTTTTCGGCCAATTATAGAATCAACGCCGTAAAGAATCAAGAGAGTATTGCACGTGCAGGGACATCAATCAATCAATCGTTTTTAAAAAAAGTTAAATATATAGGGCAAAAACATAAATCACGTGTACATTGCTTTTTATACGTACTTATTGTACACGCACATACCTGCAAAAACTTTTTTTTTTTATTCGGATATTCTGATATCCGCCTGGGGAATGATAAGCATATTTCATGGATAATCCGATAGAAATATGGCAGGACGACGACCAAGGAGACGCATAACTATATTCATTATTCGTAAATCACGATCGGCTATCTTGATAAACATCACTATTTTTAAAAGGATTTGATTGGTTCCATCTTAAAGAAAAATTGTTGCTAAAAACGGAACCGTATCAAAAATTATTATGCAATAATTACAAAAATGTTACGGATATTTCCATAAATTTACCCGAATTGATATAATGTAAATAATTTCATACATACGTATGGTTTACAAAACGATAACGAAATTTATAAAGATAAGCAAGTGTAATATTTCTACAGGGGTTTGTACGTACATCAATTACGTGACAACAGCACATTGTAGGCTAAACCAATATGCAAATTGTTGCACAATTTACGCAACATTTCTGTAAAGATAATTGAAATTTAAAAAAACATCAGCATTTTTTTAAATGTATTAGATTTTAAGGCCGCGACTTTCTTTTTATGTTACGGATTTACATGAAAATTTTTTTTACGTAATACGGGAACTAAAAATTTTTTCTAACTCGATCGACGAGGATTAGCATAGATATTAGCGTTAGGAATGATTAGTAAAACTAACGCGTGACACTAATGCGGGGGCGTTGTCAATCAAAACGTATCATGATGATACGCATTGATAGCGTGATTGACGATAATTCGGAAATTACTACTGTACAATTTTTTCTCATTAAAAAGCAGCCGTAATAAAATTCGAAAACATCATCGATCGTTCAGATCATATGTACTTATATGTATGTACGTACGTAAGTACCAGTACGTGCTGTACGTACGTAGCTAACTATTTTTACCAATTTACGATGCAGATAATCATCCCTAAATTAGTAATTTTTTCAGATTACTCGTAATCGATTAACGTCCTTAATTATGCAAATCACGCGCACAATTAGCGGGAAAGTATAGTCGAAACAGTCGGTAGAGACAAAGATTGAAAGTTAGGACAATGTGAATCCCTGGATTTTTGTTGCACTTTATTGCGGCGTAATTTAAGGAGCTACGTACTTAATACGTACGTACGTATGTACATACTGATACGGCATGTTACATACGTACTGTACGTACGTGCGTATTTTCTCTACGTATCAAACATTAAACCAAATCCTCAGGTTTCTCCACAATTCCTAAACCGCGTCCCATGAAAATGTTTCAATTATGTTTAATCAATTATGTTTAATCTTAACTGTAATAATCACATTTTCTCGTTTTACAAACATTGATCGATAAAAGTAAATGAGGCGGAAGTTTGACTAACCCGCAGTAAGCTAATAACTCGAAAAATCACCGTTACTGCATGTATCATTACAAAGAACTCATTCTTTATATGCGGTAGCAAAATAAGATTTGATATTTATAAATAAAGATTCATTTTATTATGGTAAAAAAAAAAAAAAAAAGAAATGCATTAGCATTTCCAAAAATGTTAACAAAGCAAAACAATATCAAACATTGTTCTTCGCATAAATGATCAAAAGTAAACATGCCCCACAATTTTTTTTTAGATTTGTCTTGCATGCTGTCTTGTTTTTTTTCCTTACATTCGAGTAAGTTCTATGATGAAATAAACGCCTTCACATTTCCTTACACATACATTCATTATATTCGTAACATTTTTCATCACATTTGTTACATTTTGATACGTTTGTTACATTCGTTGCGAGTTCAAATTATACAATCTTGTAAAGATCGTCGAAAAATGCCGGCTTTTTTAAGTTGTTTCATAACAACCAAAAATTTCATAACAGTAGTAGTCACACATGCCCATTGTTCAAATTATGAACAATCTGTGGTCAAATTTTATATTATTCTCTCGTGATTTGTTCTACCTTTGGCTTACAATTTATTAAAATTAAAATAAAAAGTTGTTACACATTTTTAAGTTTTTTTGAACGCCAATCTTTTTCCTTCGAAAAAATCGTGATATGTGAATCAATGAGTATATCTGGTAAAGAACATGACCTAAATGCCAATAGGCTTTGTTCGATATTAAACCTAAATACTTTTTATCGTTACTACATGCTAAAAAGTTTTTTTTTTGCGTATCATTCATATGCTATTCATGCCACTCAACTGATTAAAATTCTAATTTTTACTTAATAAGGAACATCATGATTTCATGGTAATTTCGCGATATATATATATAGTTAACTATCGATTGTAATTATCATTTATTAGAATTTATATTATATATATATATATATAATATATCAGATATACATATATATATATCTGATACGTATATAGTTCATACTTATAATCTTGGTTTATTAATTTATACGTAGACCCTGACTTGCATTGCTTTTTTGCTTATACGTACTTTATGATAAACAAACAATAAATTTTATATTCAAAAGTACTTACGTAAAGCAAAAAAAGAGAAAAAAAAAAATTTAAAATAAACTAAATCTTTAAAATTAGTATTAACCGGCGGTAGAGCATGATGAGTGGCATGTTCTGCAGTGTCTGTCAATCTTACTTTAAACGAATAATGAATAAAATTATAATGTGCGCCTAATTTCCACCTTTGGTAGAATCGATTTTAATATTTCGATTCTTTGTGTATATAAAAAAAATTTTTTTTTTCCGCCATCGGGGATTGATGATTATATTGATTATGTAGTTTTTTTTTTTGAAGGAGAATTCTTTTCCCAGGAACTTTGTATCACAAGCTATGTTGTTAAACACATATAAGGCATAGCACTCCCTCGTCAAATTTTTTAATGATCTTCATTACACTTATATAACTTACAATTTCAAAATGGCTACTACCACTTTCTTCACTATGAATTCTGTTCAAATTTTTAACGAAAAACAAGGTATTCTTGATAATGTTGATAATGTTGATAATGTTGAATTTTTATTAGAAAATAACTCTAACAACGACGATAATCGTTGTGATTATGGTGATGAGAAATACGATATATCAAAAAATGATGATAATAACCGTTGTGATTATGGTGGTGAAAATTACGATACCATTATTCGAGTTGGTGAAGAACCTGATGTAAGAGAATTTAAAGCTGGATCTATAATATTAAATTCTCGTTCCGCTTATTTTCGAATCGCTCTTTCTCATGAATGGGCAAGAAAAGATGGTGATAAATATTATATTGAAAAACCGAATGTTAAACCATATGTATTTGATATAATTCTCAGGTATGGTATTATTTAATTAAAATTATATATATTTATATATATATATGATAATATTTTATAATATTTATAATAAATTAATTTTTTTATATTATTATAGATATTTGTATATAGGCGTTCTCAAAGTTGATGATCTCGATGCTGAAGGTGTTTATGGACTATTTTGTGCTGCTGATGAATTTATGCTCGATGACCTTATAGATCATATACCTGATAATATTGGCAAAGATATGGATTTTTGGCAAGATCAAGATTGTATACCTGTTATTAATACAATATTTGGTATAGATTCTTATAAAAAACTTCGACGACATTTAGTCAGAAAAATAAATTCTAACCCTCAATGGCTATTGGCTATAGAAGATTTAAGTTCGATTGAAGAATATATTCTTATAGGGCTTCTTAGTCAAAAAAATCTTACTTTTGATCATATTACTAGATGGGATCTTATCATAAAATGGTCTTTATGTAGAAACCCATCTCTTGATAAGGTTAAGGTTAAAAAATGGTCTGACGATGAATTTGGCTTACTTGGATTATCAGTTCGTAATCTTATCCCTCTAATAGAATTTACTGAAATATCAAGAAATGATATTCATGCAAAAATTCTACCTTATGAAAAAATACTACCTCATGATATTGATGATTCTGCTCTCAAGTGGTATTTAACAAAATATCGTTATAAACAAAAGAGTTATCAAGGTCTCAAAAATTCAAACCTTATTAATCATGTACATGCTTTATATTTTAAAAAATGGATTGGTGATTTATCAACAAAACAAATTGATAGCAAAGAAAAAGTTCCATACAAGTACAGATTTGAACTTATATTTAGATCCTCTCGAGATGGTTTTGAAAATTATTCGGAAAAATGTAATCAAGTTGGTCCAACACTTTGTGTGGCAAAAATAGCTGGTCAAAGATGTTTAATTGGTGGTTTTGTTACACATGGTCTTCATACTGAAAAGAAAACTACTTATGTACCTGATGGAATAAATGTTCGAGAGAATTTTCTTTTCTTTTTTGATAATCGAGAACATGCTACAAAGCCAATAAAGCTTTGTCGCATGACCAGATACGATGTATTATATCGACATTTCTTATCCGAAGATGGTCCATGTTTTGGTGATTTACGGTTAATATTAAGATATAATACCGGTGTATATTTACCTTCCTTTTATACTCCTTATTTCTCTAAAATGTATTTTGATATCGAAGAATGTGAAATCTTTAAGATAGTAAAAACAAAAAAATCTCCCAATGACACGTGTCATCGATGTCATAAACCTATTAACGGTGACACTTAAAAATACACGTTTTTTTTTTTTATTCAATCTATGTAGTTTTCTCAATTTAAAAATTCATATGACGCATTTCTACACGAACACAAAACAATGATTTACTTTTTTTTTTTCTTTTTTTTTTTAAAAAAAAAAACATTTGCAATAATAAATGTTAATTAGTAAAAAATAGGGTGACAAATTTTTATTAGTCATTGACAATTAATTTAAAATTAAAAAGCAAGTGCGACATTTGTATAAATGAAATGTTTTTTTAAATGATACGTATCATGGGTACAAACTTTTATGGTACAAATATTAGTTTTCACTAAAGATAAGATAATCTTTTTTTCACTATAAGGAATTTTTGATCAGAAGTCATTATAAAGACATAAAGACAGCATAAGGACGTTAGCATGTCAAATAAGGACACTTACTAAATGCCTAATTTGATAAAGAACCGTTTTTACTAAAACGCATTATCTTAAAAACCGACTAATTGATTAGTATGCAGTACTCTAAGTAAAAATACTCTACGCCCCAAACCATATACAAAACTTATAAAAAATATATAAAAAAATTATAGATGCAAAACCACCATAGGTGCGTTTTGTAATAAATGAAATAAAAAATTTTGGATCTCATTTAGTATAAGTGGGAATATAGAAATATTATATTATTTAATATAAAAAACTCTAACTCAACTCTAACCTAACTCTAATTTAAACTATAACTCTAACTCAAAATATTTATAAATTAGTTTAAATTAATTTAAATTAGTTTAAATAGTTATTTTTATATATTATAGTCTTATAATATTTCTATATTCCCACCTATTAAATATCAACCTACAGTATTATAATTTTCTATACTATATTTTAAAAATGTTTTTTAGCTAAAAAGTATTTATAAAATTTTTAATAAACTTGCCAAATTTTTAATTTAGCTTTATTATTTTATTTTATATAATATAGCTTAAATATATACAGTCAACTCTCTCTAAGTGCAATTAAATAGTCTGGTCCTGTGTCGGGACTTATAATATAAATGCAAGTTCTTTATTCTCTAAGTGCAAGATTTTTTTTTAGCCAGCATATATAAAATTATTTTTCTTTAATTGCAAGATATATTATTAACCAATTAAATTGACTTATTTAATTAAATTTTTTTTTTCTAAGTGCAAGATATTTTTTTTAACTTATAAACTTGCATTTAGAGAGAATTAATTATATATTAATTTAG